ACCCCTTTTGGTATTATTTCCCGTGAGTCCTCAGTTCCAATCTCACACGACCAAGTCGTCCGCTGAGTCCCCTCCGAACTATATATGGACGCCCTTTTCGTCGTTCAGACGATGGGTCTCGTCTATTAGCCACCACTTTTCAGCGTCAACAGCCATTTGTAGGTGCAAAATTTGTAGGTGTTAAATTTGCAGTAAAGCCTTTTTGCGCATGTCAGAACCTGGCGGAAACTCAAAATTGGACAGTACTGGGGGGGAATGAGACGCTACGAATTGTTTGGAGCATTGTTGATGTTCGCCTTCCAGGATTCGGTCAACGTGCCCCTCGCTCTACTCGACTGGAAGACATTAAATGAAATGGCAGCAAAGAGAACGAGATGACTCAGTGATTAGAGCACGAATTTACTGAGCGGAAGGTCCGTGGTTCGAACCCGACCTCTGCATATCGACTATTGTCTAGGTTTGGGCAACCTAGCAGTATCCTAGCCTTCGTGCTTACTTCGGGTGGCGAATCAGCTAGACACTGAAAGGATATTATAGCTGAACGATTATCCTTATATATATATATATATATACATAATATGGCGGCTAACGGATGTCAATTGCACTCTTGTTATCAGTGTCTGTCCAGATTGACTGAGTTTTGGATGTATGTGTATCTCGGTTGTGGTAGCCTAAACCATTGTCCTCGCGCTCTCTCACTCTTCTTTCCATTGAAACTATATTCAGATAAATTTGCATGGCTATACGGCACTGGAGTACCAGGAGCCTTTTTCTTTCCTGTCAGCGATAATGATGATGTTTAAAGATGCCAGTAACGATGTGGCTGAGGGGTATGGAATAATTATTTGGAACCGTCTTGAATGGTACCTGCATATCGCGGGAACAACTTTGTATGTAATGGCAATAAACTATTTTGCAAATCAGGCTGGTGGTAATAAGAAATGACCGAAACTCAACCGAATCTCGTTTGTAGTGCTAAAAAAGTCGTGTTTCAGCCAGTGATTCTCTAAATGCTGGCTACTTTCTTCATGGCACTACTTGATACCACTACTCCAGTTTGATAATCTCCAATTTTCCTTTCAGTTGTCGGAGTCCAGGGTCGCGGTGTTAGGGAGCCGGCAAACTTGTAATGAAGGGCTTAGAACTTTTGCCTTTATGGTGGATTAGATACCATTTAGATACCTTTTATAACAAAGGAACGACGAGTTGTCCGCTCGTTCCCTTTCTCTGATAAATTCAGACAGGAGTCAACGGAGCCTAGAAGTATTCCACCATCTTTGAATAGTGCTGATAGGGGCCAGCCTAGAAGAAAGGTATATTAATACTTCGTACAGCGAGATGAATCCTACCATAACAGACCACGGCTCGGTTGGATCGGTTCAGATGAAACATATTCGGAAGTCACAGAACGAACCAAACTTTTCGCGATAGCGTTCAGCTGTAACATCCTTTCGGTGCCCAACTGTTGTGCTACCCGAAGGAAGCACAAGGGATGGGATACTGACAGGTTGCCAAAGGCTAGACAGGAGAGATCGGGTTCAAACCACGGACCTGTCCGGTCAGTAAATTCTCGTTATAACCACCAAGTCATTCCTTGTTGTTTGGGCTATTCCTGTCAGCGACCTAAACGGTGGATTTCGTGTTATCGTAGGTTACCTCCAAACATTTCAGTGACGGCCTTCTGGGTCCCGTTTTGTGGATCAGCTGAAACAGTACCCACTCGTTCTAGGCCTCGCTAGTCCTTTCCATCTCAACATTCAGGTTCCACTACCCACTATGTCCATACGAAGGTTTTATTTCACCTGACTAGCCGAATGCCTTTGCTTCCACTTGATGCTTCAAGAAATGTTAGTGATTGTTCTAAAATCCAGTGGTTGTCCGTATGACAACTGGTTCCTCAGATTCACCGGATGAAGTTCTGAGCTGAACTCGTGTATTCCACGTATTCCACGGTGATAGGGGATGAAGAACTGAACCTTACTGTAGGTAGCTGATGGCGATTCAACCAATCTGGCTCATCCGTAGGGAGACCCGACGCTGAGTTCCTTAACCCAGTAGAGGTACAAGTAAACCCAGACAAGTGATGGTCTGTGTGAAGGTGCCAACGGCTCTGGTCATTATAATCACGTTTGGAGAGTATAGTGACGCCTGTCTGTGGGTATCAAACTGAATAAAGAAACCTCCGTTAATAAAGTGTCCGACACTAGCACAACATTTACCAGCTGCTGTGTTCAAACAAAACAGTGGAGACATTATGGCGCGGGTGTACTAACGCTTCGTGCGAGGCATGACGCTGCCACATATCCAGTTTATATCCAAAACGTGATAATAGTCTCAAACGTCTTTTTACTAATCTGTGTCGGTCACCTTTTGTTTCTCACCAGGGCTAGGTTTAGTCGCGTTGTAATTCGTCATATTTGGTTTCCTTGGCCGAAGTGGTTAGAGCGCGGATTACTAACCTGAAGGTCCGCGGTTCGAATCCGACCTCCGCCACTCGACTTCCCCTGTCTAGGCTTGGGCAACCTGGCAGTATCCCAGCCCTCGTGCTTCCTTCGGGTGGCATGGCAGCTAGGCACCGGAAGGGTGCTACAGCTGAACGCTTTATCTTTTTATCTTTAGACTCCTAAAGTCCACGATCGACATCATCTAGACAGCAAGGGTGTCGTAAGCTTAAGTTTATGAAATGCACAAGACACTGCATGTAAGAGCTGTTTTCTGACTTATTTGCTTTAGAGTTACACGATAAAGGTGGTAATAAAGGCATTAAAAAGAAGTTTTAATAGCGGACTTTAAGAGGAGGTTTTGAACTTTGGTGTATAGTCAGTCATTTTTTTGAAAACCTGGCTCACGTGATTTCGGCTTTTATCTGTAAAGGACTGAGTATTGAGTTAGGCAGGGGAATTAATAGATAATAATGGAGAGCTATGTGAGGCGTCAATAGTTGTGTGCTTCCTCTTTTTGTATGCACTGAAAGGGGGTTGTACAAAGATACTTTTTCTCCGTTTTCAAAATTGTTTTTGAGTCAGGTCACAGGGAGAACGTCTGAACCCGGATGGGTAACCACTGAGAACCCCAAACTAATCTGATTGGAGTATTCTACCTTAGGCGACAGGCAATCACACATGTTGCACACCTCGGCCCAGAAAACCGGAAGAATGTTCCTGTTTCTGCTCCATAAATTCTTGGCCCTCCATACAGCATTGTGCGCCAGCTCTCGTGTACGGGTGAAGCCTGAGGTAAACTGTCGGCTGAGTTCACTGCATCCAGCGGTGTCAGTCAAAGATGCCCTCTCTCTTCTTCAGCTTCATAATCGTTATCATCATGGGAGACACTCCTAGCCACTAGAGTCGAGTGGATCTGATCCAGCCGAGACGCAATTAATAGTAAACAAGCCTTCACACCTACAAGATGCAGAGTGCCCTTGCAAGATTGAGCTCAAGCCCGAACCTCATGTTTGCAAATGAGCCAATCCAGTTACTAGTTACTACGTTTTCATCCAGTTTGGAAAATAAATAAATGAACAAACCGCTCGAATGTAACTCCCGGTGCCTAGCTGCCATGCCATCCGAAGGAAGCACTAGGGCTGAGATGCTGCGAGGTTACGCAAGCCCAGATAGGGAAGTCAAAATTCAGAGGTCGGGTTCGAATCACGAACTTTCTGGTCGGTAAGTTCACGTTCTAACCACTTGATCCATCCAGATTGGAAAGATAAGTAACTCTTATCAACTTGCATCAGCTGTGATGTAGACATGACATCAGCTTGTCTGTCAACAATGAAGTTCGCAATGCTTTTTCGTGTTCCATATTGCTATGTGGTTCATGAATTTGGTCTCTGTTAGCTGATGACGTTAAGAAACTTCTAGTGTCTGAACACCGGTGTCCTCGGGACCTTGCCTGAGTCTGGTACGAATAGTGAATTACTACTTCTGCCCTCGAAGTGGTTGTGGTTAAGGAGTGAATATACAGACTGGAAGGTTCGTCGTCCGAACCCAGAATCTGCATCTCGATTGCTCCTGCTTACGCTTGGAAAACCGGACATTACCTCAGCCCTCCTTCTTCCTCAGGTTGGCATGATAGCTAGGCACCGAATGAGTGTTACAGCTGGATGGTTACTATATTATTTAGTGTTGAAGTACATATTCTGGGGAATAACTTTCACACGGTAGATGTGGTGATCACACTCCGTAAGCTGCGTTGGCTTGGTCACGCTCCGTATGTCAGTTGATCGACTTCCTCCGAGAGTCCTTTTCGAACAACCGCGCAGAAGGTTGTAACCGGCTATAGGATTTCGAGCGCCGATTTTGCCCGGAAATGTAAAGGTCATTGCTAACAAATCTAGCCGCACCGTGGCCGTTTCCATGGAGGGTAACAGCGAGTCAGAACACAGTCGTTGGAGATACTGGCAGACAAAGTCCAGTTGCGCGCTCAAAGGCGCACAAACATACAATCTGTCGAATTCAGTTCATTTCTCTGTAAAAAGTCCACTGTCACTCCCTTCACTCATAATACCTACAACTAAGAACACTGTCGTTCCTGAATTCACGCAGCAACGTTGCGAGGCAATGCCTCTAAGTCTCATCCACTTCCTGTTTTGTCAGATCATCAAAGAACGAAACTTTACCTGTTAGAACGACCGCATAACATGTACGCAGTTCGCAGGTGAAGATAACTTTGAAGATCCTGGCGTTATCTGTCGCCCAGCGTGGTATGAGGAACACTGTGGATGTCATATGCATGCCATCAGGCAACGAATACGACGTTCAGGCATATCATCGAGGCATGGGCGATGATGATGTTCACCCAACACCAGCTGGACAGCCTGGATTCAAGGTCAAAAGCACGCATGAAATACCGCAAAGTTCCTTGTAGTTTTTCCACCCGCTTGTTCCTTGTTGGTGAAACTAAGGCAATGGGGCTGGGATAGCAGCAAGCATTGATCGCATTTCCCTCTGAGAGAGGGAAGCTTAGAAGTCGTTTTCGACTCTGGACCGTCAGGCACCATGGCAGCAGAGGTGTCCTCCACAAATCTTCGACCATCATTAAGGCGCTGTACGCCAACTCCCGCGGATGCGTGCAGGTATGCGGGGACCTCTTGTTTGAGTTCACTACATCAAGTGGTGTATAGCGAGGATGTCTTGCCTAGCCTTTAGTCTACAACGTCGTCATTGATACGGTTATGTAACACTCACTCCCAGCCTCGGATGCGGGAGCTAGTAAATTAGTGCTTAAATACAGCACTGTCAGTGGACTGTTAAGTGAGGGAATCGGGGACGGAGCTATGCATTGAAGGCAATAGCTTGGATGCATGAGCGCCATTGAGGGCGCGACTGGGCAATGTCTGACAATGTCTCTAACCATTGATGTGGCCCGTCTTGGGGTCCCCATCCAGGAAGGCGGCAGTGACCAGCGCAGCTGATTTTGCTGGTAGTGGCTTTTATAATTCGCTGCCAAGTCACTGTTTGACCGCCTCTGGCTCTTCCACCTTTCACGTTGTTGTGAGAAAAGAGCTTTTCTCGTGGAATTCGGTCGACTGGCATACGCAGCACGTGACCATGCCAAAGCAACCTATGCAATGTGATGAAGGTGTTATTTTTCCCGAATACCATTCGACGTACTTCAGAATTGCTGATCCGGTGTTCCCACCAAATTCGGGCAATGCTCCTTGGGCATTTGCTCAAGAATATTGAGTATGCGGATGACCACTCTTCTTGGACTAATGCTGTCGTAGAGAGATGGCTCGGTGGTTAGGACGCGAATTGACTAACTGGAAGGTTCGTGGTTCAAACGTGACATCTGCCTCTCGATTTCCCCCTTTCTAGGATTGGACAACGTGGCTTACTTCTGATCGCATGGCAGTTAGGCACCGAAAGCGTGCTACAGCTGGACGATAGTGCTGCTGCAAGGCGGTGGGCTCGAACCTTAACCTCATTCTGGCGGACGAGTCGATTGAGTTAGTAGACAAATATGTCCACCTTGGCAGCAGTATCAGTTCCAGTGGAGCCCTCGTAAATCTGCATCACCTGTGACCTTGGCGCGATATCAGTTTATCCATTAAGAATCGAGTTTATAGTGCTGCTGCGCTCCATGTTGTTATACGGGTCAGCAACATAGCTGATGTACGCTGTGGACATCAGAAAGCTTTCAGTGTGTGTCACCATCGATGTTTTCGGAACATCGCTCGAGTCTGGTGGGAACACCGGATCAATACATCTAATAGTTTTTGGTAACTCGCGCCTCTTCGAAAGACCCTTTTCTTTCAACAATGCGAAGGGTTGAAACGAGGCAGGTAATGTCAAACAGTGACTTAGCAGCGAATTATGAAAACCATTACCAGCAAATTCACCTGCGCTCGTCATTGTCCTCTTCCTGGATGGTGACCCCTAGACGGGGCGCATTAATGGTTAGAGTCACTGTTAGACATGACCCAGTCGCGCCCTCAGTGGCGCTGATGCATCCAAGCTGTTGGTTTCAGTGCTCAACTCCCGTTCCGGTCTCACAATCAAATGTCTACTGATACCCCTGTGTTTACGCATCATCTGTCTCAGACACGCAGCTATCTACCCCACCTTCACAGCTCCTCAGTGAACGAAACTGTGGCAGCTCTAAACACTATAGCAGCTATGCGGTTTTTGCAGCTGACGATGATGGTATCGATTTAATACGGGCGGCAAATATGCTCGGTGAATTTCTGAAGCAGGCGTACCGTTACACCGCGATGAGGTCCATTCTTTGCAAAATTAAAGGGATGTTGCATCCACAACTACCCCGTTGGTGAGCAAGCTTAATCATAAAAGCACATTTGTGAGGGTATCCAATGTGTCTTGAGGACCGTCTTTTTCATTCACACCCAGCCATAGGCAGATATCAATAGTGCACCCCTTTCCAAGTTCAAATCTCCCCTGGTTTTGTTTGATTAGGGTTTCCCAGAGAACAGCTGACAGGAAATTTAGCGCGTTTATCATTCCGTTTTTTGACTCGCCGGTGTCAAAATATCATTTACTTGTACTGTCCATTTTTTCATTCTTTCCTCTTTCAGGAGGTGCTTTTGTGTGGGAACTTGGTTTCAGCTCAGCCTAATACTCTTATCTGTTACAGTCACCAAATTTTTGCTTTTCCTCCTAATGGGTTCGAAACCGGGTGATGAAATTCCTCCACAATGTCTCGGTGAAACCGGAGCTCTTAGCTTCAAAAAACCGACTGAGCAGGACCTTAAAGATTCCCAAGAGCTTGAAACTACACTAGCACAGCTAGATATATTTGAAACTCCCGAAGAGATCACCCAGCGACGCGAAGCTTTGATGCGGCTGCAAGAAATTTCCAACAAATGGATCAAACAGAAAGCTGTCGAGCAAAACCTCCCTCCTCATGTTGCCAAGGCAACCACTGGGAAGATTTTCACGTTTGGGTCGTATCGCTTGGGTGTTAATTTCAAAGGAGCTGATGTGGACTCGTTACTGGTTGTCCCACGATTCATTACAAGACAGGAGTTTTTTTCCGAATTTCAATCTGTCCTATCGGAGAATCCCCACGTAGAAGATATTCATGCCGTCGTAGACGCCTTCGTACCAGTATTGAAATTGAAATTCATGGGTGTTGAGGTAAGCTGTTTCCCAACCATTCACCGAAGTCGGCCGAATTCTACAGATTGATTTATTGTTTGCCCAAATCGATCAAATGAATATCGCTGAAAACTTCAACCTTTGTGAAAATACAGAAGTGCTAATGCGTAACATGGATGAACATGATGTGCGTAGTATTAATGGTGTGCGCGTCAATGAGGACATATTGAACCTTGTATATAACAAAAACTCCTTCAAAGTTGCTCTCAAAGTGAGTCTTGCTTCTTACTGGCCACCTGACGCTTGCAACAGAAATGTACCATTCTTTATACTTTCGATCTTTTCCTTTTTGTTGCGCAGGTAATTCGGTTTTGGGCCAAGCGCCGCAATATATACTCGAACACTCTGGGTTTCTTGGGCGGAGTGTCTTGGGCGATTCTGGTCTCACGCATATGCCAACTCTACCCCTACGCGTCCCCATCTATGCTAGTCTATTTGTTTTTCAAGATTTTCAGTCAGTGGCCGTGGCCCAAACCTGTGCGCTTGCGTGAATCTGAATACATTCCCAGCCTGTGTCTTCCAGTGTGGGACCCACGCGTAAGTGCAGCGAGACATGGGGGGTTGTTTGGTTTGCTAGGCTACTAAAATGGATTGTCATCTTCGTACTCTCCCACTCTTTCGTTTTCGTGTTATTTGCGCTATATCCTGCTTGGAGTCTCTTCCACTCTATCTGATACCTGCTTGTTTACTTTACACTTAACAGATTTTCGGGAGAACTACTCCCTTTTTCCGGCAGGATTTCAGATTTATTGTCACAGTTTGTCATCGCACCGATCTTTTCTGAGTTTCCTTCAGCTGCCGTTCCTGTGATAAGGGTGTGTAGGATAGATAGGGTACCTTTCAAGCTGAAACACGATCACTCCCTTTTTGGCGCTGCTCCTGCCTACACTATCGACTAAAATACACATAGGCCTTCAAACGCTGGTATGCAAGTGGGGTTAGGTCGAGAGATTTGTACCGTTATCTAGCTGCGCATATAATTCCTCAAAAAGAGCAAGCTACTGAATGCTGATATACACCTGAGACATGTCCATAAGACGGTTTGAAACGACGTATAATCAGATACTTCACTGGAAATCTGTTGTAATTTTGTTAAGCCGGCACTTTGCGCTGTTGAATTACAGATCTTCAGGTACACCAAGTTTTATCCGTATAGTATTGGTCTGAACGTTTCGGCCGAGGTTTTGTGACCTCATGTTACTTCGCTGCATGTTACTTCGTCAGCATGTCATGCTCAGCGAGGTCGACTGGTAAGACGGTTTGGCAGACAGACATGATAATTACTGGTCGCAGTATAACACGGTTTCCGGATGGAGCAGTTCACACTGGCCAGATGCACAGTCTCGAGAATCAGATGATCCTAATTTGGATGATGATCCAACCGTGTACCTCCCCAGCTTGAACGCTAGGCCAACGTTTCTGATAACAGTGGTGACACATTGTACGTGCATTTTTAACGAACAATGTCAGCGAACATTAACCTGGGTTGGATCAGTCTATTGAGTGAAACCGTCTTGTATTCGTGAACATACTGACCGTAAGGTCCGTGGTTCGATTCCAACTCCGCCATCTCGGCTACTCCTGTCTAGGCTTGGACAACCTAGCAATCACTAAGCCCTCGTGCTCTGTTTGGTTGACTAGGCCACGAAAGGGGGTTACGGCTGAATGGTTGTCTACTATTTATTGTTGCCTAAAGACTTTATTTAAAGCTACATATTTCTTGGCGTAAATGGTCAAAGTACACCTCCAGGCAGAGTCTGTGAAATTAGTCTAAACCTTGACCGAGAATGCAACTCATATTCATGTACAAACCAGTGTTTTGGGCGGTGTGTATGTGGAGTTTCCAGACCACCTTACTGAAGGTTTGCTGCAGTTTTTCACCTGAAAACTTGAGCGGACTTTGCAGACGACAGGACAAGCCTGACATTCTTCAGTCGATGGCCCCAGTTTACGGTGCCATGCTATTTGTCTTCGCGCCACACTTCTGCACCCATACTATTTAGTGCAACATCTAACTAGCATTGTCGAGTACAACAGCCGTACGCCCTGATCCTCCGAACTACACTATTGGGATCGAACATCGAAAAGCCTCAGCTGGCCCTTCCGTTGGACTGAGTTGAGGAGTGTCTAGTTCTTTGCTCGAATATTTTTTCATCCCGAACGTTCTGGCTTAATATCCAACTCTCCAGTTGTCATTCCCGTGTGTTTTGATTATTGCGTGATCGTCACCCCACTCCTTTTGACATCCCCAACTCGGCAGCGCCTATACAAAAGTTTCCCCGGTTATTGCTTGGTGAATAGTGTGATCGGCTTTTGCAGCTCGGAACTCCTTGGAAGTTTACCCATTCCTTCATGAGAGGTGTTAATACTGAGATGTACATTCAACTGATTCCCGTAACTTGCGTTTCAACTATTTTGATCCACAACCTCTCCTTTGTACCCGAAACCCATCCATTTTGTCGCATGTACACATGATATCACATTATTTTGCGGTGAGTCCTCTGCTCTTCATTTCAGCTCAACCTTATGGATCAGTATCATTTGATGCCCATTCTCACCCCGAGTTACCCGTCACAGAATTCCGCTTATAATGTACAACGCAGCAATCGCATAATTCTCGAGCGCGAACTAAAACAAGGTGGGTTACTTTTCACGTTTTACAATTGTTCTCCCCTTCCACCTGAACTCAATTCAATTTACTCCTTGATTTGACAATATTTTGTTCCCTTGGTTAGGTGTGAGGCCTTCCGGTAGTTGTTCAACTAAACTTACCGCCACATTACCAGCTGTCTTGGATTACTTATCTATTGGGTTTCCACGGCTATGACACTATGGTGTTTAGCTTCTGAATAGCTGTACTACATCTGACGAGAATGTGCAGGGTTGAATAACTAGGCACGGTACCTTTGGACTGTGTGAATGTACGGTTTACGTGTCTTTTGTACCCATCTTTTTCTGTCTCACAACAATTTCGAAACTGACTAGACAGTTTGACGTTGCTTCCGTTGGTTTTCATTCTTGTGCCCGAGGGTTGATGGGAATTGAACTCTTTGTAAACAAACGGATGAAGGAGTAGTTTAGCGGACTTTGTATAAAACAGTGGACCTATGTCCAGCATACAACCATTGCACAGCTGCAGCAGACGAATAGTGGGTAGCTATATCGACAGCTTTTATGCTTGGTATGGCGGTATTTTTGGATCTAGAAACGTTTCGGGTTCGTTATTTGTCAACATGGCGTTTTTTGCACCGGAAACAACCATAAGTGGTTTGCCTCTACCGGAAGTTTACAATCTGTATGAATACGGTAAACACGTCTCCAAATAGCTTAACTGACTTGTTTGAGTTTTTATCTCACCAGTGAACAAAACCGTGCCTACTATTTCAGTGTCTTAATGTGGTGGACGACGGTGGAGCACGTCCACCACTACTTCAGTGCAACAGTGCTTCGGTTTTTAGACTTATTCTTTGAGTTTACAGGCCATTTTCTTATTTGCCCAATGGTCCGTCCACTCCGTAGAGGGAACTTCGGCTGAATACATGTAGTTGCTAACCTCTAGTATGTCCAGTCAATTGCATACGTCGAAAACGGTACCAAAAAGTTGTTCATGACGCCATTAGAAAACCATACTTAGTTCGTGTAAATTGATTTCTTTTTCGTCGGACAAACTAATGTTTTTTTCTCTGTAACCTGAGCAGGATGGCGGAAATGGCACCAGAATCTGATTACCCACCAACGTTCTGGCGTATTCTACCCATTAATTGCTTTACTAGCAAAATTCCTAGTACGGAATCACGTCAGATCGGCTTTACTGACAAAACTACTTCAAATTCCCTATCCAGCAGCAGAGTTTTCGGCCACTGGTGTCACGGCGTGCGCTATTGATAAAACTTATGAGTAATCTCTTCTTTGCAGCTCAGGCCGTCATCCGTACAGATAATTGACGGTTTAGCTAGAGGTTATTGCTCTGCTGTGTTCTTTCCCTTACGTCGACTATCCGAACAGTGCCAAAAATACCCAGGAATATGTCTGAGATTGTTGATTTTATTAAACTCTACGCACAGAAGTCTTCAGCGTTCGTGTCCGACTTTTTGCGACCGCTCTGTTCGTGTTTCACACATCTGTCTTTCACCAATAGGAACAGCATCCGGGTCCCAGATAAAACGAAACATGCTCTAACTGAGGTGAAATTACTCTGATCGGCTTAACAACCGGCAGCACAAGTGTACACAGAACCTGCCCGCTACAGCCCCGTCTCTAATGACACATCTTTGCAGCAGCACTGGGGCTATTTTTTGTTCCTATTGGATGTACGGCTAGCATTCAAACTTCTCCAACTTTTCGAACACTTGTGGTTTCGTAATTTCGATGATCTTCGAGTATGAACTCTAGTATTTAACGCTTCACAAGATTGTTGTTGGGTGATGTTTATCTCTTCGTTTTATGTGGTCTACCCAGCCAAGTTCATTGTGTCAGACTGAACTCAGGTGACCCACCACATCTATCTAGGTTCTAAGGTATTCATGATTATCCCTCAACTGAGTTAGTTTACCTATCACTGGAAGTAAAATCCTTCTGTGCCACCGATCGATCATCCTCGTTTCACTTCCTTGGGGCAGATGGCTCAGTGACCGGAAGGTCTGTGTTTCGAACCCGACCTCCGCATCTCGGCTTCTCTTGGCAGTACTTGTACTTTCTTGGGGTGACATGGCAAGTAGGCACCGGAACGATTTTTCCCATCACATACATTGCCTCAGCATTGAAATTTTTGTTCTTTTCCAGGTCTCACAGTCTCCAGTGATGCACTTCTACACAAACAGCCTTGGTCCAACCTTTTCGAGCCCGCTTTTTTCTTCCGCTACCGTCATTATGTGGTCGTGATTGTCACTGGAAGTGCGAAGCGCTCTTTTCTGGAACTCTGCGGCCTCGTCGAGTCCCGTCTCCGCGTCCTTGTAAGCAACTTTGAACTCAATCGCTACGTGAAAATTGCTCACGTCAACTGTCGTTCGTACGGGAAGGGTCCGAGTGATGAGGATGCCGAGTTGGTTCGAAAGTGGTTTATAGGAATGGAATTCGATCGTAATCCAAACTCGCTGACAACAGTGGTAAACCATACATGTACCGAGAAACCCACATTGAACGTGGACTTGAGCGAAAACATCAATTCTTTCGAGAAGTCAATTGAGCGTGGTTTGTCCAATGATGACCTAACTAACACAGTGACCGTGAAGTATGTTAAAAAGTGAGTTGTCTTTGTTCCCCTCATAATATAAAATGGTTATTGCGATACTCCTTGCTGTTACTCCCTTCTCTGCGGTGAAAACGAACTTTGGAAGAAATAATCAATGGTACATTTTGCTCCCTAGATGAACGGCAGTTCTCAAATACGATAGGCTGGTTTTTTGCTGAGACACCCCAGAAGGAGAGTTCTACGTCCGCTGGTATATTCGTTCAGTCGTAACACCCTTTCGGTGCTTCGATGCCATTCGGAGGAAGCATGAGGGCTGGAATACCGTCAGGTTGCCCAAGCCTAGACGAAAGTAGAGATGCAGAGGTCGCGTCCGAATCGCAGACCTTCCGACCAGAGAGTTCGCGCCCTAACTACTGAGTCATATCGTATCGACGACAGCTTGTTGTTCGATCGGATAATGCGCTAGTGTGCAGCTACTGGTAGAGCAGAAAAACAATGCTTTCTCGAGTGTTTGATGCATTTTTACAAGTCTTTGTTTTTTTCCTGATAAGGCGACTTGCAAGTAGTATTGCATAGCTTATTGCATTACAGCGTAGTATACTATGGTCTAGATAGCCCGTAGACAGTATAGTCTAATTTCACCCAGATGGAAGCCGGCTATGTGTGCCTAGGTTCTAGTTATCAGTTATTCCTACTGTTTGAACGCTGAACGCACTTGTGATTACTTATAGTCCCCATACATCATGGACATCCACCTTTATTATAACCTGTATAAAATGACCAATAACAAACAGTTTTTATTTCGTTTCTTGTTTTCCTTTCCAATCACGGAACTGTGCACCGTCCAGACTGTTTCCCAGGCAGTCTTCAATCATGACCTGGTGCAATGTTCTGGGGAACTAGAGTAGCAAGCTGTCATGCGTCGCGTTTGTCTGGGACCTTACTTTATTCGTCATGGTCTACTTACCCTGTCGTACTCTGCGTTTGATTGTGATGGAACTGTGACAGCTAGAACCACGGTAAAACTTGTGCATGGTTTACAGCTGATGATAATTTTGATGTTTTCAACGTCGTCGGGGCAACAGTATGTGGGATGTTAGTGTCTTGTTAACAGTTCATAATCAAAACCACACCGTTGAAAATCCTTCTTTTCTTGCTTGCTTCCAGGTCGCAACTGCATCAGTTCGTGTCTGCAGAAGATATGGATGAAATTAAGCGACAAGCTGCCAAGGCAGCTATATCTGAAACGGCCAAGGCCTCAGAAAGTTCTAAAGCCTCTCCATATCCATCTGTCGGCTCAGATAGAGGAGAGAGCATGCCAAGCCCTGCGAGTTCATCTGACTTACCCAGCGGAGCTGCATCTCCTGCCTCGCTTCAGCGTTCCAGCAGTTGCGCCTCTGTTGTTAACGTGACTTTACAAGCAGCATCTCCGTCGCAGAACACAGCCTCATCCGACCCACAAAAGGATGAATCTGCTGTCACAAATGGTTCTTCCTATCCAGAGAACGTAAGCTAATCTTGTTATATTGAGGAATTTTATGGTTCACAAAGATCTCATTTGCATCATTTATGCCTTTAAGTGGCTTGAATCGCGTGTTCACAAGCCTAATTAAACATACCCTGCAGTTTTAGAAAGCACAGGCGTTTATAAAGACAACCATCTTTTGGGCATGCAGGTAATATGACCTCTTTTGATCAAGACTATACGTAACAAGAATTGAATCTGATTCTGTATTGTTCACATCTAGTCGGAACGCATAATGGCGCTTCTCTAACCGACAGTTCAATGCCAATTACAGGGGGTATTTTAGATAGGCTGTCGTACCCCGTGAGATTTAAACTACTCAATCGGGCTATGTATATACTTCAAGACTGAGCTAATTTCATCTAAACATACTTGCTACTTGATATCTCTTTCTCCAAAACGAGCTTACCGCAATCTTCGTTCTCCTTCAAAATTACAGGCGATGTTGCAGTCCAAACTGAGCGCGACTAGTTAGTGCAACCCAACAAATCCTGCACACTTTGTTGCTACCTTAGTATGTTGTTTCACGTTAGGCTTAGGTGAATGAGACCGAATTTCTGACATCCTATTTCCCAGCACATTAACAGCATCCTATGAACCGAAGATAGCTCATCGTGTAGGTGGCGAAACCACTAACCAGAAGGTCATTTCGATAATTCGATGCCAACTCACTGTTTTATTTTCCCGATCCGCGCTCAATTATCGCCACATTGTTTTGACTGGTGCAATAGTTTTTACGGAGTAGTTTGCACACGGTCACTTGAAGCGGAATTGATTTCCTGTCTGAACACTGCACATTGTTGCNCACATTAACAGCATCCTATGAACCGAAGATAGCTCATCGTGTAGGGTGCGAAACCACTAACCAGAAGGTCATTTCGATAATTCGATGCCAACTCACTGTTTTATTTTCCCGATCCGCGCTCAATTATCGCCACATTGTTTTGACTGGTGCAATAGTTTTTACGGAGTAGTTTGCACACGGTCACTTGAAGCGGAATTGATTTCCTGTCTGAACACTGCACATTGTTGCTTATTTTACCTTGCATAAACCTGAGAATCGTTCTTAACCGAATTTTGATGGAAATCCAAACAAGCAGCTGATTTATTGTGCAAGAAAACCAACCATTTCCTGTGTTTGGTTGACCACCGTTTGCAGGTCATTTTACGAAGAAGCTAATTAGAAGGACGCTTTCCCTAACTGGATATCGAACAACTATCAACAATATTCTCTGCTTTCGCACTCCGTTTTTCATTCGGTTCTCCGTAAATGGGAACAAGTTTAGCTAACCTTTGAAAAGGGAGTTTTGGCAGTATGTGGAATTTCGGAACTTATCTGTAACCGTATCCTATCGGATATACTTAACAGCGTGTATTCCATGATCATCTTGGTGGCTAGATTGTGCGTTTTGTAGCATATGTTTTCTAATTTTCACGGACAAACCTTAATGAAAATTTTCCGTACATTCTCTACCACAATGAAAGATGAGTTTACACACTGCCGATCTTGATGTGTCTTCAGCTGTTAAAATCTCAATAAACCATAACGTATTTCTGAGCTGACAAGGTTCGTTTTACGCCGTTCGCTACTACTGTGGAATTCCCGTCATCATATATGAACAACTTTGTTATGCATTCTCTAACTTCGTTTCAGTCAATTTCGACAGAGACGTCCAATAACCCTTCTCCCGCTGCTTCTAACTCCATTGCTGGCCCGTCTCAGTCCTCCCCCGACCGGGGTCCACTTGCACCCGCGCCTGCGCAAAAACGGCAGTCTCCTGCCAAAAACTTGTCAGACTCGAGCGGCGACGATGTCAAACGGAAACGACTAACTGTCGACAACACCAAACTTGTTCTCAGCCCTCCCACTTCTGCCCGATAGCAATATATTTGCATAAGTCGTACATTCACTTGTTCTTTTGCTCGCTCTTTCCCCCAACTGTCCTCGCAAGCACATTCAATATGGCAATTCATCGCCCTTTCTGAGGTGCTTCACTCTGTTTGTCTTTTTATATCGGCTCTCCACTTGTCCACACTCAGTTCATTTGCGTGGGTCTCCGAGTGTGGTCTCTACTTCCATGGACGTCGTCAACTCCTCCAAATCAGATGCATTTACCAGTTTCTCACCTCCAGAACGTCATGTGCTCCGTCCCATCCGATTCCTTGTGAGCAATCTGATTGGTTCGTTGTCTTGGTAAGTTCTCCAACCATTGATTGTACGCCCATTCTCTTCATTAATTATGTTATGTGCGTCGGAATAACTCACGAGTTAGGGACAAGATCTCAAATTTTAATGCCTCTAACCCAACCTTCGCCTTCAGATTACCGGTTCCAGTTTGGACAGTCCGACAGTCTTATTCTCTTAGGTAGCATGACGGCTAGGCGTTGAGAAGATGCATGACAAAAACTCGCATGGACAGAAAGTTGATTTCTGGTACAAAGTCCCATCAGAAGTCCGAATGACACAGGCCGATATAGTTCGGCGTAAGATTTATTTAACATACACAAGTATCGTACTCGGGCTTGATCTTTTGGTTGTCTTCCTCAATTGAATGCCCAGCATAGCTTCTCAGGTTAGTTAAATTAAGTTCAGTTATTCAGTCAGAATCTTGAGATAGCTCATTGGTTGAACTTACTAACCGGAACGTCTGTGGTTCGAACTCAACCCCGGCACCTCAGCTGCTATCTGTACTTTGGCAACCTGGCAGTCTGTCCTCCCTCGTCTCTGTTGGCTGTGGTTCGAACTCAACCCCGGCACCTCAGCTGCTATCTGTACTTTGGCAACCTGGCAGTATCTCAGCCCTCGTTCTCTGTTGATAGAGGCAAGCACTGAAAGGCCTCCAAACGCCAGGTGTTTGGATCTCTCCGAACGAGAGCCCTACCGATCTGGAAAATACAGACGGGTGTTACCATTTTTGAAAAACAGCAGGAAGTGCAACCAATACTATAAAAACCGACCAAGGTAATCTAGTCCTTCGGGATGTATTCCGCATCCTTTTGAGACATACAGTTTTCGAACGTGTACCATAGAATTGAGGGAGTGACAATAAAAGTTGTGGAACGGTACATGTGTGTCGGAAGTTGCATAAGCTCTGACGGTAGTGCGAAAGACGAGGTGAACGAACGATCCTCGTAGACCAGGATTGCCTTTGCCAATTTGCGCCACTTGTATCAAAAAGGCATCTACTGGGTCTCAAAAGATGTGTATCATACTATAGTCCGGGCTGGGAGAATTGACCACTTCGGGTGGAGGATCTGGGACGTCGGTGTTCATAGAGAAAGAAATGAAATCCTTCAGCTGTAGCACCCTTTCGGAGGCATCAGGGCTGGTTTATTGACAGGTTGCCCAAGCCCAACAGGGGATGTCGGGAGGCAGAGATCGGGTTCGAACCACGGACCTTCCGGTCAGTAAATTCGCGCTCTAACACTGGGCGATCTCGGTGGTCATAGAAATGAAGATGTCTCATAACTATAGCTGGAATGGGCTGTAACCAGCTGATTTGGAACGAGGTGAACAGGTGATGCTTTTTGGTGAAGCAGACGGTATTTCATTCAAAGAATACATCCAACACTGTAAGCTAAGATGGCTGGGCAATATGCTACGCATGTCGATTTCCCGATTGCCGAGACGATCGCTGTTTTCTTCGACCGATTCGGAGTGGCGGAAACATAGAGGTGAAGAGAATTCTACATGACAGAAGTAAATGAGGGGTGTTACGACAAGTTCGGGTGTTGTTCTCCTTTCAGAATAGGGTGCACGTGAACCTCTGTGTGTTTGGTTGGAGACGCTGAACGATATGGCGGTTAACCGATGTCAGTGGCGTTCATGTTGGCACTTTCTATTCAGACTGTGTGACTGAGTGTTGGCGATGTAGGTACTTCGGATGTTTGTGGTAGGCTAGCCCTAGACCCCAACCCCCTCCCTACTGCACTTCTTTCTTTCCATTATAAGGCATTCTAATAATTTAACATGGTTGTAAGGCGGTGAAGCACCATTGTTTTCACTTGGTGCGATGATGTTGGTGACGTCGCTTGCAAACTGAGCACTTCGAAGGCAAAGACTACTGCGACAGTATCAACAGTTGCGTTATTGACTATTGTCCATGAGCTATTACGGTGCTATTCCTCTGAATGCCCATCCGGGAAAAACGGCGGTTGCCAATGCGCGTGAGTTTGCTGGTCAAAATCTTAACAATTCTTTACCAATCACAGACTGACCATACTTTGGTCGTTCTCACGTTGCACATGACTGGGCCTATAGTTCACAATAGACAAACGGAAATATACGGCATACCAAACGGAGTGGGTGTCAAAGCTGTGCCCCTCCAGTTTTTTAAAATACAGCTCTTCTAGTGGTTAATGTAAGCGTGGATCCGCCAAATTTCAGCATCCGAAAATTACCGGGAGACGCTCGGTAGAAAATCGAGAAATAATCGCAGCGAACTTTTATGACCAACCTTAATTTGAGTGCCACGGGATCTTGACAGTCTCTACCTACCTCTCCTTGTACGTGTTTCGAAACCCTATAATACGTAGCCGATCCTCAGCCTTGCTGCGATTTCTTGTCCGTACTATCTGGCTGACGCTTTCGTGTCGTTTGCTGGGTATGCATTAGGTGAGTTTTGCAAACCACTTCGGGATAATCCTGCTGATGGCGTCTTGCTTCAGTATGATGCTGATGTACGCTCACTTCGATGTTTTGGTAAAATGTATGCAGGCGTCTCTTAAACACTTTCTATGGAGGTAGGGTTTTTCACAATAAATCCCCAACCCCCCCGTTTCATTTCAACTTTTACTGGATCCATGATTGTGTGGCCAGTAGGCACTAGTTCCCACTACTGAACGGTGACCACCCTGGGTTTTAGCGACAACTAAGTAATTTTTTAGCGAAAATCAACATCTTTTCGAGAACTGTATCTGCTTTTGACTATCCTATCTCGTATATGTTCTGTACCAAACCGTGCCCTATTGGTAGTGCAATACAACCCAAGTAGTAAAACTGGAATGTCTCCTCGACTGATATGCGTATGGGATGTGAGTCTGCTCGGGCACCTGTCGTTGCTTAGCGGAATTTCAGTTGTCCTGTTCTTTCAACACTGTCTAAATGCGTTGTAGGTAATCAATAGTTTTACATATATCGTACTTTGGATTTATAGAGCGCACGAATCTGATAAGCCTATTTAATGTATGCTTATCATTACCTAGTTAAACCCAGACAAGATCACAAGAGCTCCAGTAATTTTGATGGATATTGGGTTTCTTAATCAGCAGCTTGAATCCGTACAGATATATGGCGTTCCAGAGTGTCACCATGCATCGGGACAAATCAATTCAGATGAAGCAAAACCTGTTGGTTTTTTGATACGGTACGCCAGTCTTGATGGTGATATTCACTGTTGTCGAGTGGGTAAGTGGGCCATTTACTAAATTGGAGGGTGCCTGTTGATTAACTTCTAGAGGAAAGTGTGTATTTCCTCGATGAGGAATGTCAAGGGGAAGACTCTGTGCCGCTGATCACATCTCAATCCTTCCTTTTCCATGAATTTTATAGCAGATCAAAGTGCAGTAAATGAGAAACAACCAACTAGTCAATAAACCCAACGTTACGGCTTTTGCGAGATGGCTCAAGTGGTTAGAGCGCGAATTTACTGACCGGAAGGTCCGTGGTTCGAACCCGACCTCCGCCACTCGACTTCCCCTGTCTAGGCTTGGGCAACCTGACAGTATCCCAGCCCTCGTGCTTCCTTCGGGTGGCATGGCAGCTAGGCACCGAAAGGGCGCTACAGCTGAACGATTTTTTTACGGCTTTTGCGCCAAGTTAATCGCTAGGCAACTGAGGTTGACCTGAACTAACGGACTCACTTGTCCGTTTACATTCGGTTCGGACATGCCGTGCCACACAGTAAACGCTTCTGGATCTTAATAAGAGCGAATCCTTGCATACATTTCAGATTATGAGGAATCGTTACCAGACCCTGAACACCCAGAGGACATGAAATGCTATTATAGGCTGATGAGTAGCTCCAACTCCTCGGGGAATTCGTGAGCGGGAGCAAAATGTTAGGTAGACTTTCTTTAGTTGAACCAGCAATCATCGGATGTAATGCATCAGGTCCCAAAAGATTACTTACTTAATTATATTTTGACCAGAACAAGCGAACTCATAATCACTCCATGCAGTCGATAGGGCTCATTGGTTAAGGCGCGAATTCTGGTCAGCAGGTCCGTGCACCGAACCTGACCTTTACGTCTCGGCTTCACTTGTCTAGGCATGGTCAACCCGGGAGTATCTCGACCCTCGTGTTTCCTTCGGATACCAGTTGCTCTGTACAACTAATGGTGTATATTCGATTGACGGCTCTCTTCGTGGTTTAAATACAGCTGGTTGCCCATAACAGACAATGCCCCCAAGAGTCGGTTATTTCGTTACCTGAATGATGGCATTTTTCAAGTTAGGCAGGCAACCGTGCTACTGACCACCCCTCGCACACTCACTCTGCATAACTACTCTAATCTTTACTTCAAGAGGTCGGAATTTTATTGGCTAAACCGTGTGAACAATGATAATTGCACTGTTTGAGCGCGTTACAGGTGAGTGACATAGGGACTTGCTACGCCAACACATCCTTTCCTCTGAATGCACGCACTACAGGTGCTGGGTGATGAATACACTTTCCGTCGACCGAAGCAAGATTACGAGATCACACTCAGGCCACGCACCCGGTTGACCGGCGTTCTCAGGCACTAACACTTCCTTTTGAACAAATGCGATACAGATATCTGGTGAGGAAAAGCCAGTTTCCACTTTGCGTTGTCGGTTCCGTCCGTTCAGGTGGGATAATTCAAAGCTGTGTCTATCGTGGGTAATAATCCAGTTAGTTAGAGGGTGCCTTCTTGCGGCATCTTTTTGCTGCGTTCTTGAAGGTCTTTAAGAAGCGCTTTATTAGGAATTTGGCTTTGCTTCCATTAAAAGTACCTATTAGGGAAGTTTTTCATCTACTTTTCTCTATGGCTCAATAAAGAATTCCTTTTAGATCAACCCGGAGAAGAGCCTAGCGAGTCGTTGGAAATTTCATTGTCTTCAGGCTGTCCCATTTCTGCAGTGACGTTCTTTGGCCATTTTTGCTTGAGTTGAGTATCCGGTCTTTTGGCGACCGACAGCATACCGTCTCAGAATCTGACTTCAAACCCATCATCAGTCAAACACCGACCTAGGTGTAAGATAAACGTCTCTATGCTTTAGTTACGGCAGTGAAGCATCGGTGTGAACGCTGAACCGACAGCATACCGTCTCAGAATCTGACTTCAAACCCATCATCAGTCAAACACCGACCTAGGTGTAAGATAAACGTCTCTATGCTTTAGTTACGGCAGTGAAGCATCGGTGTTGAACGCTGATGCCATGCTGTCGATGATGATGATGATGCCTTAGTTATACAACAACCACTTCGTTGTATCAAATCTATTTTCAAACAGAAATGTCTCCAAAGCCGTTGAATGCATCCGTAGAACATTTTGTGACTTTTATCTTTGACTTGTTCTATTTTGTATGCATATGCTCCATCAATTTACACCGGTAATTTTTTAGATGACAATAGTCCAATGGTGGACTAATTTGACTCGCCACAAACAGCTAAGCGTGCCGATCCCACCGTGATGTTATTGCTGGTTTAATTATTTAGTGTTCGGGCTATAATTCCGGATGTAGAGTTCGTGTGTAGGATTTCGCAACCATTAGGTATCGAAAATCTACGGGTGGAATTACTTTGCAACCCATATAGTTTTCAGCTGATTGTGGAGTACGTCTGTACGATGTGCTGCCTTCTCGTTGCCGCTACTCTATTCCAGTCAGTAGTTGAAGTGTTGCATGGTTGATACATCCCGAATACTTCTACATCCCACACTACATTACACGCAACTGAACAACTCAGGTTGTTCGTCAATCGTACTCTTTGTTTGTTGTACCAATCCTTTTCTTTTCAGAGTTGCCTGGTTTGTATCCCGTGCCCCGGATTATGTGGTAAATCGTATACAGGTGAGTTCTCTGGTCTCAGTTTGAGGGCGCTGGCTTGATACGGAAGCTCAGACTGTAGTTTGGGAGCAAATATCCGTCCAAGGAGATCGCTTGAAGGTACTCATCTTAAATAGACTCTTCTAGGGACAGTCTCTCACAGAACGGCGACTGCCTTCTCATTTAGGCTTCTTCAGATGAGCGTGTATTCAGCATACCTCGAGTGAGCTAGAGGATTGGAGCTTCCCGTACGGCTGACCATACCGGTACAGAAAAACGTAACTGGTTGGCTAGTCACTGGACAGCCGACCATGTATGTTGTCTAATTCGCTTATGTTATGCATTCAGTGATATTTCATTGGTTTACAAGAAAGTTAGCTTCTTGGTGTTCCCTGAAATGGTTACGATACCTTCGTTTACATGTGTGCCCACTACGCGCAGTTGCCGTTGAGTGGGTTTTCAATGGTCCCGTCAACTTTAAACACGTAGAAACGTACTTTGAGACCGAGGCCGGCGTTTATGTCACTGCCGAGACAATGATCTACCAGTTGCTTATTTTATAGGCAATTGGAAATTCAACTTCTGTCTCAAACCCTATCTCATTTTAGCAGTAGGTGTTGAGGAAAGAATTATCTCTTGCGACTGTTCCTTATGGTTCCGTTTTCATTATTCCGGGAAAGTTCATCCGTGTCCATAAGCTCATGTCTACTCAGCTCTTCGCATTGTTCTTGTTTATTTTTCATATCGAATTCATTTTATATTTCCTCTCGGGTGCCGTTCGTCACTCTCCTTGCCAGTTCTTGCCGATTGTGGGGGAACATGTACTAGTTGCGTGAGTTTTGTTCTCGTTATGCATCTACATCGTTGCAAGTAAGGCCTAATGCAACCACACCTGACACTCGAAACCAACCTGGTTCTGCTTGTTGTCTCACTAAGTAAATCTCCGTGTCTTCATGCGACGCTGAGGACTTTACCTCTGTTGTGTTTTCTGATTTCCTTCTCATAATCGTTTCACTCAGCTACCTATTTGTAAAGATGATGATTACCCACCGGTGTTTCCAACCTCTTAATCCAGAATTCTCTATAAACTCGCTTTAGCACGATGCATGTCTTATCTGCTATTACTCCACACGTGCTTACTGATCCGACAGGCCTTGTTCGAAAAGTTGCCGTGGCATGGTGAATCCTAGGACAGGTGAATAAAATTTTTCCTTTTTTGAAAAAATTCCGATCTCGTGAATTCTCAGCGCGTTCAACTTTTGTAGATAAGTAAATAATGGACGCACTACTGGCTCTTTATTTGTGGCACAGTGGATATTGTTTCAAGTAAGTGAATCATTTTCGAAAAAAAAACAGACCAGTAACGAACGGTCACCAGACTGCTGGTTTCAATCGGAAGCGCAGCGCATTCCAGGAAAGTATATCTGTGGCTAATTTCTAAGTGCTGCGCCGATCATCATAGTATACTCAAATCAAACTGTTCGTCTCAAACTGCCTCACTTCTTTGATGGACGGTCGTTTCACAAGTTGGAATACAAACAGCAGGTGGCAGACCTAGAAGGAGGCAATCAGAAATCACCCACAGATTCGAACCGCCGGTCTCTTGGGTCTCAGCCGTAGCATTTATCCACGAGTTTCATAAACTCATGATTTATTCAGTTATTTGTTAAAGCTCTTGAATGAATGTTCCGTAGATGAACTGACCAGACGCTAACTAATGCGTCTACTGCTCACCCGACTAACTTAGTCACTTATTAGAGAACCTGACTGATATGTTCTGATTGATTTAGTTTAGTTTATGGATGGGATCAGAAGTTGTAACAAAAAACTTATTCCCTGGTCCACAACGATGGTCTAGCTTGGGACCCACCTTCTCAACATAGCTGACGGTAATGCGGACCCAATGACACTTTCTTGGAGCTCATCGCGTTTTTATTGCCCATTTAAAATGCAAGTTTACTTAGAGTCCTCTCAGTAAGTTTGCGATTTCCACTATCTTAAACTCAGGGTAAAATATTTCACTAAACGCGGAAATTCAGCACAGAGTTAGCGTGTTTAGGTGACCTATCTGGCCGTCTGCTGACTGAATTTAAGTTATGATATGATTTCAGTCCGGCTTCCTTGTAACTGCAACAGTTCATATCCGTCGTCCTGATTTCCATATTTTCGGCTCACATCTCAGTACGGCGTGGAGGCCAAGTTGTGAAGTTCTAACCGAGTCGCCTCCCATCCTCTTAGTTGTTCTTGACCAGACTTGAAGGTTCCCTTGATTGGGCTGTCAACCACATGGGCTACCACTATGCTGATCACTCCACTAGTTGTGTCCTAGAATACCAGGAAATTGAGTGAAGTCAGTAGAATTCTTCCTGCGTATTTTGTGTATTTATTGGGTTGCGGCTCCGTACATACTTTCGCGTACTTGTTGGTGTTGTTCGTGTAGCACTTTCTGTGTCCCAATCTAGAAGCACTGGAGTTGCATAAGCCAGTTAGGAACCGTCGTCACTGAGCTTTTCCTGAGTTTTTAAGGAAGTCTAAGCGTGTACATTTTTCAGAGTGGTCCGACAATCTACCCGCAGCTCGCTGATGACCGGTAAGCAGTAGGGTCAACTTGACACTTGCGTAGCGACTTGCGCTCTCTATTTTCAATCACGTGACCATGTGTTGACGGAAGCCTCGTTGGGCAACTCATCATTTACAGACCGGTGCGACCCCATAGTGGGCTAGATAGACGAAAAGCCGCTGTCAAAATGTGAACACCAGGCACAAACTCGTCACCCATGGGCACTCCTACCTCAAGAAACCCACCTAAGATGAAATGACGTCATGGAAAAAGAGGTTTTGGAATATGTGAATTTCTCTCCATTGCTGTCTTCCTCGAAGAAACAAATACCCAACAACCGAAGACTAGATACCTGGTTCTCCGTTTGACAGGTTTACCCTCAAACAGCAAACGCAATAAAAATGCCCTGTATTGTTGATCCATATTAATTATTCGGTCACCAATGTACGGCTATTACACTAGCCCGCTGCATTTGTACCTGTTTTAATCCAACTTGACTTCTTAGTTGGTGAATTGACTTTGGAAAGGCACATAGTCCAAATACCTATTGAAAAGAACTCTTGTCAATGGTCCCTTGATAGGAGAACCAACCAGTTTGCAAAAATTCGACATATCACAATCCGAGAATCATCACATTATATTAAGTTAGGTATTTCTGTAGAAGCGATTTGTTATTTTGTTAGAATATGGCTAGTTTACATGTAAATTACACGCCCATAATGCGGGAAATTTCAAGAACTGACGCCCATTGCAAAAGTGCTCAGTGTCAGTGTATGCCTAAGTTACATTTTGGCAAGCCTTTGCATTCGTCGCACTTAATACCTTAAATGCCTGTTGACTAATGCTGTTGAAAATATCTGCGTACGACCGAGAAGCAAGTACAGAAGGCCGTAGTGATAGCTTCTGTCAGTCATCTCTCCTAAGAGGAAATATTTCACGGAGGTATTTCGGTACACCTGAATCATCGCTATCATGGTTAGAAGAACTGTTGTCCGCAATACCTACGCATACCGAGATGTTCACCAAATAATTCTTAACGTTGGGCTGACAAACCACTAGTTGTTGAACAGAACTGTACAATTCATTTTCAGACGTATTTCTCACTCCCATCTGTTTCTTCCTTTTTCAGCCGCCCTGTTACTCGATCCCAGTACGGTTTGGGTAACTCCTTGGTCTGTTTGGATCGTATGGATGCGCACCCGTTTATCCATTCATGTGTGTGTTTGTCTGATTGTTGATAGCCTTAGACCATGTTAGCTGTGGCGTGTTTGTGCGTTTTTTGACTTCGCCGTACGTATGTGTATGCGTGTGCTTGTGTGTGCGTCTGGAGCACCCGTTCATCTTCACCAACCCTTGATTTGAACCTTCTCTTCCGTTGGTCCATAGGCACGCAATCGCCATTTTCTCATTTTTCTCAAATTCCCCGTCTCTGACCAACTCGCCTTTTGTGTACATGTGAGTTTTATCAGATAAAAATCCAACTGACAATTTTCCCGGGTGTTTTGACTTCTGCTCAGATGGGGTCACCCATTGGCATTGCTTGGTTCGGTCTTTGGGAGAAAACATCCGCCACTTTTGTACTGTGATCTCGAGGGTCCCCTCTGTTTAGCTTTTTCGTTTAGGATTGGTTGTGACTGTGCAATAGGAATAATGTAGACGGGGAGGACTCCGCCATCTGGACATCCGCTTCAAAAATGTGCAACCGGAGAATGCTGTAAAAAAATACCCAGTTTTTATGCTTGTGATTGGTGACGAAAGGCGTATAAGACGGTAATGGCGACTTGTGTCTTACAGGTAGGCAGAAGTCACACGAGTATTAAGCGCCTTCAGAGTTTGCGACACGATATTTTTGGCCTCTAGCTTGTCTTCTACATCTCTTGTCAATGACGAGCAGACGGACGGTCGTTTACTTGGCATTCCTAACACCTGTTCTAATCAGCGAGTTGTTGCTGGTTTAGAATGATACTAATATGGCTGGAGGGCCGTCACTGCTGGACACCTGGGCACACTTATTCATCTCAATCAAACGGGAGTGCTGCGTAGACAGCAGTGATCGAAAGTGGCCAACTATTGTTTTTCGTACGTGAGTCCACATCCCACATTTTTAGAATAGGACAGCGGACAGAGAAATGTTTGCACATCCTTTGAGGACTGGGTGGATGTCGCCGAAGTTGAAAAAAAGTTTTCAACGCCTTTCAAGCCTAGCTAGATCGATGGCTTATCCTTTGTACCACTTTGCCGAAGGAACCACATAGATACACAGTGTTTTGTTGAGGGCGTGAGCCGGTGTTCGATTTGGTCAGTTCCGAAGGGATATGACGTATTGTACCAAAGAGCGACGACAACCGTTCTGAGATCCAGCGCTTAGTACTTACGCATTCGTAAACGCCAATTACCGAATTTCCAGCGTCATGTATAGTGATTGTTATCTCATCCCAGTTACGATTAGTGTCCTTCGAAGCATCACAGCAGGCTTTGATATATTTGCTAAAATAAAGCTTTGCTCCCTTGGTTCACCCAGAGAAGTCGGTGGAATCATTCACCGTACGAGAACACGGTCTGAATCAACTCAGGTAATTTGGAGTGGCACCATCTATGGCTGGTGGTGGACTGATGTGGATACACGGTTACTCAGTAGTAGGAGATGCCATCCATAACGTCAAATCCGAGTAGTACTGAGGAACAACCGATGATCAGTACAAAGTTGTAAAAGACGTTACCTTTTGTCATAATGCCTTGGATCGGAATTAAAAATGCCATCAAGCTGCACCTCGGATTAGGTTTGAAATCTCCAGTGGTTAGGGCTGTATATGAACCCCTTGTCGGGGATACGATGTTGAGAATAATTGAAATTGTTCAGCTGCAACACCGTATCGGTCCATAAATGCCATGTCACCCGGAGGAATCACGAGGGTTGGGCTACCGCAAGGTTTCTCAAGCCTAGACAGAAGTCGGGTTCGAACCACGAACCCTCTGGCCAGTAAATTCGCTGTCTAACCACTGAGCCGACTCGCGCGAGATACGAGGTGGTTCTGTATAAAAAAAAATACCTCCCCGAATCAGTGAATTGGTTGGTAGATGAACGGAAACGACGAAGAGCGGCTATTATTTAGCTCTGTTCGAATCCCCATGAAGGTCAACGGGCGACTGTTTACAAGTGTCCGATCCAGCTCAGAAGTTGAGGTTATCCCAACCAGCTACGGCAGCTGAAGTTCACAGGCGGTAGCGTCGCAAGAGCTACGCCGTGAGCTTAATTAAGATGCTTGAAACTTACATTCAGGTTTCAGAAATGCAACAAACTTCGGTCGCAAAGGACGGGGTTGACCCGATTGCTTAATTCATCGAGCATTAAAACGGAAAAGTGGTCTGATTACTCAAAGTGATATGGGATGTACTGTGTAATCGGCCACTTTCCTGGGTGTTTGATGACGTGTCCAAAGCTTGTTTGTACAGAAGAGTAATCGTCGAATAGGGGGAAGGGATTGAGAGAAACTAATGAAAACGAGAGGGGCGAGATGAACCAAGTGGTTAGAACGCGAATTTACTGACCGGAAGGTCCGTGGTTCGAACCCGACCTCTACCTCTCGACTTCCCTGGCAGTATCCCAGCACTCGTGCTTCCCTCGTGTGGCATGGCAGCTAGACACCGAAAGGGTGCTACAGCTGAACGATATTATATATTATTATTAATAATAATAATGAAAATGAGAGGTGTCTGTAGTGGAATGTTTCGCTTGTCCACTTAACTGTGTGCAGCTGATGGGGCGACCAGCCTGTTGTTACCATTCGATGGCCAATTTCGCGTGAAAATACCTTGGATTGTTCACCTAATAGGTCTACATAATGTAAGCTACAATTAGGGCTCCAAAACATGCAGAGGAGAACGATGATGTTCATCAAGCCAATTTTTGCTTAGAAGCCTGACCACAAAGCGGTGGTTGGCGTAATGTAACCACAGTAGTCTAGATTTTAGAATACAAATCATCACAGCCGTCCCGGGTCCCAGTCTGATGAGCGAGAATACCGTGTCCAACCTTAATCCATTGGGTGAGAAAGACAATGCTTCTTGGACATCCTGTCGTTCCGCTCAGTAGGTTACAGAGATGTGCGAACTGCCGCACCACCGTGAGCTCCATTCTCTTCGCGATGGTGAATATTTGACGTCAGACAGGTTGAAGCCACAAGGTCGTACTTGCCCAGATACTCAGTTGAGTCATTTATCAATTCAAATGTAGGTGCGGTAACCCTTAGCTTGGCAGAGAAGTGGCTGGTCACCTTCAAACCTACCTGATAAGTTCGGTGCAACACCAGTTGCCAGAGTGTCATGCAAAAGCCCGTAACTTATCTCCATAGATTGCTGAACGCATTTTGACAGTAACTCATACAGTCGACCATCCAGCTAATCGTTCGCTGTCTTGTGAGGCAATCTAAACCATCGAATTCGAGCAAGCAATGAAAACTTACTGATTAAAATGAACCAACCCGTTTTATATACTAAGAGATTGGTAACTGGGACCAATGTGAACGGTAGCACCGACCCTATCCCGGTCTGATCAAGGGACTCTATGCGTTCTATATAGTATTGTAAGTATGCCCCCTACAGATAAGATTTTACGCTGGTGTCTAGTGAAAGCTAATAAGCCATCAACTTTTGTGCCTTGAAGCCGCTCTTGTTAACTGGATTAAGAGGACTCAGTGGTTCAAATGTGAAGTTATATATTGTTTTGTTCGGATTCGCCTTCTTTAAATGCCACAAAGTAGCTAGCTATTCTTGATTTTATGTTTCAGGTCATCAGGCCTGAGAATCTCAAACTTGCCTTCAGTGGTCCTCGGTAATGTTGGTATTTTCAAAATTACCAGAAACTTTTTCTGTTAGACTTTCTGTTGATGAGCGGGGAATTTCGTGATTGGCCTCAGCCGTTGTCCGACATAAACCTAATACAAAGTTATGAAATAAACAACTTCCGGTAATTGATATTTGGACGTCTCTCTGTTCTTCAGTGTCCCATAACCACTGTCAAGAAACAGTGCCTCACTACTGAACTGAACTGCACGCGTTCGTGTGCGAGGCGTCCCATCCTTATTTTAGAAGAAAGCCCTCATGATTGTGATGTGTGCATCGGTTGGGAGTCGTTGCAGAAAAATCCTAATTTTTGTTTGAAGTTGCCAGGTCTAGGAAAATTAATCCAGGTGGACAACAACAGAACTGAGTGAAACCAGGTGTTTTCGAGTTTATGTGCCCCTAATCATTAAGCCTATTCTTAGGCCACATTGGAGATGATGCGTAACATACATGTTCCATTTTCTGACGTTAACCTAGCATTCGGATTTTGTCAATCGGACTTTCCACTTTTGCTGGTGTGTTAGCAAAGTAGACGTAGGTAATCTACAGTAAACCGGTCAGGAAAGACGCGACTCTCTGAACAGTTCACACCAAGACTCCCCTATCAGCCACAATCCAGTATGCGCCTAATTCAAGGAAGCTAAAGGCGTTTCTCACGCATGTTGGTAGTCTTGTTAACATTCCAAAATGTTTACCCCCGACAAAACAGTAAAATTTCAAGGCAGTTGCTGATACTCAGTGATTCTCATTCGGGTCTACTTGATTGATCGGATTTCCTTTGTTTATGCCCTATACTAAAATAATAAATTCGTGCTCCAGCAAGTCTGAATGTGCAGGTTAGTTCATTCGTATCCGAAGAAGCGTCCCGTAGTGAATCTATGACTTTATAATCCATATCCAAAGCTTCTGAATTTGTGAAAAGTTGGTCGAATATGCAAGTTAACCATACGAATTGGGGTACGATTCAGCTACTGGGTCATCACACAAAATCAGCAGCCCTGGGATGGGTCCACAATGGGAAGTTTCCACCAAATGTTAGCAAAACTTCCAATCTCTGAAGAACCTTTGACTTCTTGATGATTGCACTACTTTTTCCCGAAAAGAACTTAACCACTAACTACAACATTTTTGAAGTTTATACGGTGCGCCGGGGATATGGAAAGTCAGGGCAAATAGTTATGATTTGGAGACACGATATCTTATGAACCGCGAATCCAGAGTTGATGACATATTTTGGTATCGCTTAGAGGGTGTTGATTTAGATGAACCCACTGTGATCCCTAACTCTTGATGTGTTACGTCTCGTGCTTCGCGTTCGAGGAGATACGCTTTGTCTGTGCGCCTGTGTTTGTCGCTCATGGTTCTCGTGATTTTTACCGAGTTATGACCCGGTCCCATCACTTTATGGTGGACTTCGTTGTGGTCCTCCCGAAACCAGAGGGTGTTTTCAGGATATATATAGCAAAGCTCCTATGTTTGATGAATATATTCTTCTTGTGGCTAGGTTACTGATACAGGAGTCACTATGCAGTTTACTATACCATTGTAATATCGACTTCTGGCAAACAGACTGTTGTCAGGTCTGCACCACACCTGCGAAAGTTTGGAAAAAACCCCGGGGTGACCAATTCCGGTTGA